ACCACAACCTCCACATCTCCCTGGAGGTACAACTGACACACACACACACACACACACATATATTACATATGTGTAAATGTATATGCACATGTGACAGACATGTGTCACATAAAAAATATGTGTGTGTGTGTGTGTGTGTGTGTGTGTGTGTGTGTGTGTGTGTGTGTGTGTGTGTGTGTGTGTGTGTGTGTGTGTGTGTGTGTGTGTGTGTGAGTACCTGGTGGCTGCAGCTGTTTGTCAGCAGTTCTCTGATGGTCACCTTCTCCTGCATTAATCTCCTCTTCATGAGTTTCGAACAGTTCACGTTGACGGCCTCCAGAATGTGGGCGGAGTTAAAGTCCACGAAGGGCCGGCTGTCAATCAAAACCAGCTGATGCCCCGCCCCCTCCAGCAGCGTCACCAGCCCCTCGGGCCCGATGACCCCCGACATCACCCTCTTCTTCAGAGGGTGAGGAGCAGCATGGGGTCAGGTGAGGTCATCGTGGAGAGGTCTCACTCGGATCTGAAAACCAGAAACCAGAAACTCTGATCAGATTATTTATTCAGTCATTTGAATCTCAATCTTTATTGATTTATAGAGCACATTTAAAACTACCTCAGTCGACCAAAGTGCTGAACAGGCAATACATACAATATCAAATAACACAATGGGAGATAAATAATAAAACAATAACTAGAAAAATATAAAAACACATACAAATGTAAAAATGCTGTGTTCAACTCGTGTTGACAGCCGGTGAGTTTTAGGATAAGATGGAACTTTGTTTTTTCCCTTGGGGAAATTCAGCCTTTTAGAGCAGAAACAGAGTCAGAGTTAAAAAGATCAAATAGAATACTAATTTAAATAATAAAACAGCAAAAATAAAGTGATAAAGTAATTATTAAAACAAGATATCACGGTAGAAAGTTGTGCATTTGTGAGAACATGTTCAATATATTTACATCAGGTTAAAGACTCTGTCTCTAAACTCGTTGCTTTTACTTTGTGGTCATTTTTTAACCATAAGAGTTCCTCAGTTGTTGTTTCACCCTCTTTCTACGTCTCTTTGAAGGTTTCTCATTTCTCTAACTCCCCTCCTCGACTCCTATCCTCGACTCCTATCCTTGTGTCTTAGTCCCGCCCACAGGAGATGCGAGTGGAGGAGTCGAGGAGGGGAACCGAGGAGAGAGGAGTCGAGGAGAGGAACCGAGGAGAGAGGAGTCTAGGAGGGGAACTGAGGAGAGAGGAGCAGAGGAGGGGAACCGAGGAGAGAGGAGTCGAGGAGAGGAGCCGAGGAGGGGAGCTGAGGACAGAGGAGGGGAAGCAGCAGGCGGTTAGAGAAAGGAGATGTCCTTCAACATGGCGCGCTGAATGCGTGCGCATCTCACTTCCGTATAAAAGGAGGCCCCGCCTCCTGACCATCATCCTTTACTCTTCAGCGAGCGGAGGTGATAGCCTAGCACTGAGTCCGAGACGTACTTTTTGAGAGAAAGGAAGAAAGAGAAAGAAAGATAGCGGGCGCCAATCCCCACCACCTCTGCTTCGAGTGTTTGGGGGACCAGGATATGGCCGAGGCGGTGCCATTTCACGTTCGCCATTCCTTCCGAGTCCGGCGTCCATGGAAGTCCACCGCCCAGGGCTGTACTCTCCCTGGATGATGATCATGGCGGCGGGTGTGTGGGCTACTCGCTCATTGCTAGAGATGCCCCCGCCTCACCAGGTCAGAGCGATTATTGGGGCGCAAGGCCGAATAAGTAGCTTGGTCCACGAGGATTGCCCCAGGCCCGGTGCTCGGTGGCTTCACATTATATAGGGTCGACCCTACTTCATCACAGGCCGCCGCCGCTGCCTGCCGTGTGATGTCCCTGGGATATCACGGCATGGCATTTTTCCAAAGAGGACCGTGTTGATCTCCTGGGAGCCCCCGTCTTTACGGAAGGGCTCTATGGATCGATCTCCTTGCTCACGGGATAAGGAGTAATCGCAGCGTGGCTGCTTCTTGCCCATCCCCAGAGGAAGAAACACTGTCCTACACTCCCCGCCCCTGCTGTAAACCCCAGTATAGGGAGCCAGCAGGTGGGCGTGTGCACGTGAGTAGAATAAACCGAGTGCTGTCAAAGCACTGTGCGGGTTCAAGAGACGCTATTGCCGGCGTGCTGTTGTCAGAAAACACACCTTGCCTGGTATAATAGCTGAGGTTGATCTGTATCCAAACCTGAGTGTCTTTTGTTTCCACAAATGCTACACTTGCACACAATGTTAACCGTACAATAGGCAGACGCAGGGAAGCCCTCAGCACTGTTTCCGAGCACACTTTTTTGCGAGGCAAGCGCGTCAGGGTGTGCTCTATCGGCCGCAGCCTGGACTTCTCCACGGTTACAACCGAGGGAGAGGTGAGTGAGGCGCAGCGACTGCTAAAGCCGGTCAGCGACAGTGAGGTGGAACGGTGTGTTGGACGACAGTGCGTGCATACATCGGGGCTCCGCCCACTGTACCCATAGAGTCCAGAAGAGGGCGGAGCCTGTGAGAGATATAACGCCGGGTTACGTATTGTAGCCCTTGTTATATTAGCACAGGCGGAGCCCTCTACCTTGGGGCACTGTCTGTCCTATACCGCTCGCTGAAGAGTGGTGAAGGATGATGGTCAGGAGGCGGGGCCTCAGTAGAGGGCTCCGCCTGTGCTAATAGAACAAGGGTTACAATACGTAACCCGGCGTTTCGTCTCCTCCCTCACCCCTCCTCCCTCACCCCTCCTCGACTCCTCCGTGTGCATTTCAGCTATTGGGACGTCCTTCAAAATGGCGTGTCTTGATCGATTTCCGGGTCAA